TGCAAAGACAGATATAGACAGAAAATCATGAATATTCAAGAAAACAGTAATTTTTTAGAATCAAATACCACATATTATACTGAGTATGGCATTATTTAAAGATCACACATAGCAGATCAATCCTACTGTGAACATTTCTAGACAATTTGTCATGAAATAAAATATGCAAAAGTCGTTTTCTTGGATTCAGTCAACTTCAGGCTTGAGATATCAATATGAGAACTTGTATTTTCATTTACTCCACATGTGACGTTGAATTCAAATCAACTAAATCGATTTAGGTCAATATGGTTGCACAATATTCAGTTAGGAAGTAACCAACCTATCTTGTCATCATCACAATGATGGATAGTTCAGTCATTTCTTTTTTTCTCTCATCACCTTAATGTTGATATATATCTTTACCATGTCAACCCGATTCATTCCTCTCTTTCCAATTTATATCATAGGTTTTCTATTTCACTGATAACAGAAAAGAACATATACTCCATTTGAATAAAAGCTGTAAAGCTATTAAATCTCTGTTCCATCAAATGGAAGATGAAATGGTAATTTTTATCCCCTCTCTTTCAAATTCTAAATCAACTTGCTCCATATACTCCCTTCTTTTGATTTAAACCCTAATTCTCTTGAACAAACAGAGGACAAAAAAAAAATCTTGCCACTGAATGGGGGTAAAAACGGGGCTAGAATCGCTCTTCAAAATCTTTCAGGGCCCAGCGATTTTAAGAGAGCAGACGGCTAATCAGGCTTGCACTCGCGCATGGGCTCCTCTTTTCCAATACATTATTCTCCTTTCAAAATCGGGAGTCTATAACCCACATTTTATATGTCCCAATACTCATTAATATAAAATCTCTGTGAGAACACACAATGAAAACACATCAGCGAATTCAAGGTTATAAATGGTGTCTACCTCCATTATACTCTTGAAGCTTTGGGCTAAGAAGAACAAAACGTGGAAGGGAAAGAAATTTGACAGGGAGAATGGGTGCTGAAACTGAATCAAGAAAAATGAAGCCAGAAAGCAGATTTAATTATATCTTCTTTTAATACAGGTGCATCATCTTGTACCACTGCAATTCAGATAGGGGTTTAACGGAAAGGAATATAGAGTGACAGAGGTGAATGATTTTCGCTCTGTATAGGGCCAAAGAAAGATTTGGTTGAGGGGGGTGGGGGGGGGGGGGGTAAAGACGAGTTGAGATTTGTAGGTGCACTATTCATGGCGCTCTAGTTGACTTGGTCTACCGTTCTCTCTTTCTTCTCATCACAAGCAATAGCAATTCATGTGTAGCCAGGGGTGACCAAGCAAACTGACTTTTCTATTTTCCTTGCTTTTTCTCTTATTCTTACTCGTTCTTTCTTCCCCTTTATTCCAAACTTTAAGCTGCTCGGTAAGAGAAAGACACCTGTACAAGGCCAGTCTGATATGGACAGAGCACAGATAAATGGGAGGGAAATGGAGAGAAAAGAAGCAGAGAGTATATAGAGCAAAAATCTTTTAAGTGCAGCAGTGTTTAGATTTGAACATAATATAGCACAGGACTATTCAATTCTTGTCCGTGTTCATAATGAATACTGCATTTATCTAAATTCTACATAGGATGGTTAATACATCTTTTCTCTATTTTTCAACAGGATACAACTGGACAAAATCTTAGTTTATAATCAAGTATTTTGCTTGCATAAAAATGTATCGTCTACTTTCTTTCCACAAGTCAATTGATACTTTGTTGTATTCATGATCTGTAAGTCAATTTTGACACAATATTACAATAAAAATACAACAATTCTCTATTTAAAGGGATTGGATGGTTAGAGGTATGAATTTCCAAAAGCTATTTGTATCACATTCACCTGAAAAATTGCCCTAATTAGACTTTTCATAAAAATTGTAGCGGAAGACAAAGTGGTAACCTTTAACATACATATAACATGCACTCCTAGGAATAACCCAATATACTCACAATACTAATAATGGGGCAATTGATTCAGCTATGAAATGTTTACAAGTTACGTAAAACATCTTAATGAAATAACTTCTACGAAAAAAAACATTGCCACCATTGCAAACGCAAGCTTACTTCATGAATACATATATCTTACTTATTCTTTCAATTTTTTTCATTAATTCAGACTTGTTTCTTTGTGAAAAGATATAACACAGTTGAGAGGATATGGATATAAATCAGTATATAGAAGAAAACAAAAGCAGATAAAGTTAAATTTAATATAAAAGCACAATATGACAGACAGTAGTAGTTAAAGAAAATGTACCTCTGAAGTTCCATGAAGGAAATTACAACATGGTATAAGAGTGCTAGTGTAATAAGAGTGTAAATGTAACAAGAGTGTAAATGTAATAAGAGTGTAAATGTAACAAGAGTGTAAATGTAATAAGAGTGTAAATGTAATAAGAGTGTAAATGTAACAAGAGTGTAAATGTAATAAGAGTGTAAATGCAATAAGAGTGTAAATGTAATAAGAGTGTAAATGTAATAAGAGTGTAAATGTAATAAGAGTGTAAATGTAATAAGAGTGTAAATGCAATAAGAGTGTAAATGTAATAAGAGTGTAAATGTAATAAGAGTGTAAATGTAATAAGAGTGTAAATGTAATAAGAGTGTAAATGTAATAAGAGTGTAAATGTAATAAGAGTGTAAATGTAATAAGAGTGTAAATGCAATAAGAGTGTAAATGTAATAAAGAGTGTAAATGTATTGAGACTGTAAACATGATGAGAGTGTAAATGGAATAAGAGCATTTAACATGTAAATGTGATAAATATTGATAATGAAAGGACAGGAATATACTAATGAATACCGAAGACAAAAATGGGCAAAACCCCAATTTTTTTGACAAATGGAAGGATTGATACAGATCGAGAGATAGATAAATTAAATGGATAGATGGACAAATGGGTTGATTCCTGCTGTGCAAATCCTTGACTAATCTACCTGGCTATTGAGTAAATCAGGGTTGTAGCCTACAAATTTGATTAGTACACGGTGTGTCCACTTACCCAGAAAGGTCATTGCTTTCACCAAAAGTGCAACTGCATTCTTGCGGTACTGGACATGACAAGTAGATTTTACAAAAGTTTTTGATAGCATTGGGAATTTCTATCCAGGATCTATTGTGGGTGATTAACAAGTTACTAAGAAAAGTTGCATCATCGAACAGGGATAGTTCAACAAAAATTGGAAGGAACACCTCTGAAGTACTAGTAGCAGAAACTTCTGATCAAGACAATAATTTTGGAAGGCCGAAATGATCTATGTTCCTATCCTTCATTCATCTGGTACAAATCCAATTATTTCATGTTTTAGGATGAAAATTTCTAAAACAGCCCCAAAAGCAGCTTTAAAAAAAAAAATCAGCATTCTCCATTTAAAATGTGATTACAGTAACTTAGTATGACACTTTACATGTCTTCATAAGACAAAGCTACAATGAACTACTTGATTGAAAGAAAGAAAAAAATCATCCAAGATTTTGATTGATAAAAAATTGCTGAAAGCCAATTTCATATTTTGTGGGAGTAACTTTCTCATTATTTCATTACAGAATTATATAATTGCTGGGCAACTTGAGATTATTAAGGATATCAATTCAAACTTTTTGAAAACTTTTCATTCTAGAATCTTCATATTACTCTTGCAGACTTGGACTTTTCCCTACACATGATGTCTCATTTGTAACACATTGGTTGTTGATAAATAGTTGAACTACCTCGGTGAGAAGTGCGTAAGTGAATTACAACCAAACAATATCTGCCATCTAAACAAGATTCCAGGAATACTTTGGACAAAGGTGTGACTCACGAGCACGGCCTATCGAATATTGGGTGTCTTTTTACTTTCGCCAGTCACAAACATTTTTTCGTTTTGTGGGAACGCAAATTCCCCTGAGCACTCACGAGATAAGCTTACAGCATGGAGCGTAAATCAACAGAGGGCCGCATCAGAACTAACAATCTTGTTTTGGGAGGAAAGGTATCCTTAGTTGCACAAGAGAAAGAAAAGTATTTTAATGGATTCCACAAGGAGTGCACAGACTTGTGACAAAGTTGCAGTACGGTTTTTAAGAGTATTTAAATGGTGGGCTATGAATTCACAGGACCCAACAGCTTTATTTTTCTATAATTCTACACTGGAGAACTGAACCTTACATGGTTCCACAGTGCACGCTGTTGCATAGCTGCAAACAGTATGTGTGTATTAATATCTGACTACAGTTGTAGTTTTATAAACAAATATATCCTGTAACAAGTGATAAAAGAGGTCTTCTACACAGCCTCATGCCACATTATAATTTTATATACCAAGATGAATTTTAAGTTAAGTTCTTGGAAATCAACTCAATCAAAGATCTTGCTCTATAATTGCTAGCCCTTCCGACTTGCCTACATACAACTGTAGTTTCTTCTTTAAATGCATTTTTAGTAAATAATCTTTAATACCTTGTAGAAAAATACATTTTGTAAGTTTTTCTAAGGACACTTTTCTAAGGACACTAATTCCCAAATGTTGAAAAACCTCTGGATACAGAAAAACATCTACCCCATGAAAACACCCCGACCAAATAAACCTCTGTGGTTAAACCTACTCTATTCATAAACCCATAAATCTGGTTCTGTAAAAGAGCTACATCAAAACAACCACTACTATACTGTCTTCTTACTCTAAAGGATTATCTTGTGATTATTGTGAAGGTATACTTTGATTGAAATTTAAAGTTTTGCAAGTAAACAAGTACAATTTAAAGAAAAATAGAGGAGAATGTAACAGATTTGAAACAACATACCAAACACTAAACCCCAGTCACACAGATGAAACTGATACCAGACCAATAATTCAAGATTCAAGATTGAATTAAAGATGAAATATTCCAGATTTAAATAATACAGAAATTTAGTTCCTCCTTGGTGTTACATACGATATAATCATAGACAAAACACAATATCATATGGTGAAAAACAGAACAGACTGAATGTCACTACATCAGGATGTAGTGAAGAAATGTGCATTTCTTATATAGTTTGAAGAGTCTTATTATGAGACTACCAGTGTCTTAATATGCCTACCAGCATATCTTGGGGGCTATTGTTTACTTTAAGATTATACTACTAGTCACAGAGACAGGAAGTTCTTTGTTCTCCTCCACCTATGTTCTGGGAGAAGCAAACCCCAGTCATTCTGAATGTCGAAGTGATGCAGTAAGGTCCGAGTTACATAACATTGCAGCAGAAAGTTTTTAGTTATTTTGTGGAACAAACTACAGGCCCAATTCGGTAAGAATACGATATCTATTTCTATATATGTTATTTGATATATACTAGAATGCTAGGATGTATCTTAATATAATCTCAGTTGAGTTTGGTAGAACTTTATAGGAGTTTCGTAAAGATGATGTTAGATGTTGTACCAAGCTTTTAGGAGTAGACAAAGAGATGAGTGTGTATAATGTATAGTGTAGAAAGCCGAGTTCTTTGTCTTCGTCAGCAGAAGTTACAGTACATTTAAGTGTTTCAAAGTAGCAAAGATTCTGCTACTATGTAGATGATAACTTGTTTATTATATATATAGTTCATGTCGAATTTAGAGCAAAACTAAGTGTTTAGGAAAGAAACAATTTTCTTTGTTAGTTATTTAGCACAGGAACTTAAGTGACGAACCGCATCTGAATGCGGCCCTGTTCACACTCATGTACGTTTGCTTGTGTGTACTGTTTAATAGTTTACTGCATAGTTTCAATGCAGGGTGTGTTCACATAGATATTTAATCCAGTTTAACTTTAATCTTGTGTCATATATTAATGTGTTGTAATCAGTATCTTTAATTTAGCTATAGGGTTTTTATATGCTTACATGCTGAAACATTTATTCATTATTTGTTTGTTTGTTTATTATCATTACAGATTGTTATCTGAAGGTTTACCGGAGATAGTAATTAACCTGAAGGTTTTACCGAAGATATGAAAGTGAAGTTACGAGTTGCTGAATAAAACAGAAGTTGGTTGGACTTTAGCAAATTGTTTCCAGTGTTACTTTTCATCGGTGTGCCTTGTGAATAACAACAGTTGGATTTATTGTTAGACGAAACTCCTTCATATAAAGATTTATGAAGGCAGCCACACTGAATAAAAATGTACGTTACCCCCTATGAGCCGACATTTTATTGGCTATTGGTTTGTTTGTAATGGGTGGTGTAACCAGAGTATTACTTATAGCAATGATATCTGTAAATAACTGGTATTAAAAAATAAAACCAAGAATGTATCAGTGACAACTTATTTTTAGAATTTCAACTTAGATGCTGAAAACCAATTTGCTTGTGTGTGTTTGACATCTTTCAGGCTTTTCCAGAACAACCAAGTGAACGTATTCAAATATTGTAAATTTGCCATTGTTGATTTTTTAATTTTTTATAGAGGTGATTAGAGCATACATTTAGCAGCTCCCTGAGCATGCTTGTAGTCCATAACATTAGGCCTTAAAAAAGAGGGATTTTTTAAAAACATTGCGTTTGTCAAAATTCCACAAAGTTCAGAAAGATTCCTTACTATAACACAAGCCCATGAATATAGAAATACACATCGTTGAATCATATGCAGCCTTGTAAAATGTCTGCTCACAATTAATTCTGAAAAAAATCATATCACAACTGACTAACTTCTTTAAATGAAGACACAACTAAAACATTCCTGTCTCGAAGCATGAACATTCAAGTTTTCCAGAAAATAGCCCAACTTATAAAATCATTGCATAAATGGTGCATGTAATAATGTAATGCAAATTTCTTAATGGTTCTAGCATGCCAATGAAAGGGCAGATCCGTGAGATCGAATGCATAAAGAATGGTCTAAGTTGACAATCTGACCACATTCTGAAGGCATGCTCTCTTAGCAAATTGACTTTTCTTCTCTCTAATGATCATACACTAAGGGTCAAGTTAAGTGTATAGACAGCCAAAGCAAGAACGACATCGGGTCCAGTTTACACCGGTATCTCTCCCGTTGCTCCAAAAGAAGAACAAATTATGCAACTCCAGCTAAATTCCTTAACAAAAAAGTCTATATCTACTTTTTTTTAAAATCATGATATAGTAGAGGGCTTATATTATTTGAGAATAGATGAACAAATACAGACAGAGTAATTAAATAATGCCTTCTTTATTCTCCTGTCTTGTACAAGACATACTCACAATGTATATCTTATGAAAAGATATGTTTGATTGTTCGTACCTCGTGAAAACAGGGCCAGTGCTGGCTGCAATGAGCAAAGTACAAAGGTGAAAGGTAGCCTCCTGCAGCTAGCTGTATGGCTCTACATACAGCAGCACCTCGTGGTGTGTTCGTGTGCGCTGGCACGTGCTTTATTCATATTTCTAACAATATCAAAAGCAATATCAGAAGATGTCCTACATTGTGAGAAGAGACAGTTCCATAGAACTGTAGATATAAAACAAATGTAATCTATCATAAATTCATAATTGCACATATGAATAAATGAAGCACTCAATTTAGAAAGTGATAGTTTTTCTATTGGCTACCCCAAATATGATCCATAACTACTAGCAAAATTGTATTGCATAAGTCCTGTTATACAACAAGTTCAATGGCAAAATGGGCACTAAATTTAGAACATATTTCAAACTAAGTACTTAATCAAATATACAAACAGCTACGTGCTTTTTCACATGTATGTACACATAGTATGTCACCTTAAGCATCATCGTGGGCAGAACATACACGTGTCTTCTCCTTTGTATGGCAAAGACCAAAAATGTTTAAAGCCAAAAGTTTCTCTCAAGTCTAAGACAAAATGCTGAACGCCCAAATTCACACACATAGAGAGTCAAGAATAGGGCCACTTTACACACCTCCGTCCCCCACCCCCATTAGGTAAATAAGGGAGATTTGCTCAAGTTTACAAAGTTGCAAACGTACTTTGATCATTTTTTTACACATCATTTGATGTCACAACAGAGTCAATAGCGTAGTAGGAATCATGGGGCTTGAAATCACCATGTTGACATATGGGGGCACATCACCCACATGAAATCAAATCTTCTCACCTCCGACAAATGTGGCCAATTTGAAGAGTGTTGGAAACTAGATCAGGGCCTTGTAAGATTTGAATGGTTTGAATACCCCTGGGTTGATCAACCAATTTACTTGCTCTATAATTTGAAATGACGAACAAGAGAGCTTCTTTTTTGGTGAAGTCATTGGGTGGTTTTTGTGGGGCATCTTTTCTTAGATGAGTGACGCTGTCAATTCTCCATGGACATTGAGAATAATGGCCTAGGTATTTATCATCTTCTATTTAAAATGATCTATTTGACAGACTTTCAACTTTTCTCATAATATGCACTTTTCCAATACCATTGGGACTATGCACCTGTAGAAACACAGGAATGTGCAAAGACATAGAAGGGCCTATGGCTCCCCTGGGTAAGGGAGGCAATGCAGTTACACATAAAAGTGAATTTGGTATATTTGCAACATGAACATCTACATTGTATATATCAATCTAATGGTAATATAATATTGAGAGAAAGAGATCTTTTTTTTTAATTCCCCATAAACAGCACCTTATCAAAACGAGAAATGTGATCATAGCCAGATTACTCTTAATTCAAATAACATCAAGAAAAGTCTATTTCCCTAAAATTGAGAAATGAAATGAATAATTCATCCAGTGAAAGTCTTTCACAGTATTTTAAACATCACTAAACAAATTCAGAGAGAAATAATTCCATAGCAAACTTTTCTTCCAACATACATAGACTATGAAACAGAGCAAGCTCTATATTAAACAAAGGTTAGACTAAATACTCTATACCCCCCTCCCCCCCCCCCCCCCCCCCCCCAACAAAAACAAAACTAGAACTCATCCAATCATACATGATGTAGCATATTTTCTGCTGAGAGCCAGGAGGGCATTAAGCTCCATGTCAAAGTATAATTAGTTAAAGGCCATTATGTTTCTCAGCAAATGATATTCAGGTTGCTAGCTCACATGTAGGTCCAGGACTTCATGTTTTATTTATCAACACACAAAATCTTATCATGAAAATATTGACTCTGCCCTCCTCCTCCCAGGCTAAGCTGTTGATATTGATTATTTATAGGACCTTAATATCACCCTGTGTTCACACTATCAGGATTCCTTGTATAGCTACATGTACATGTATATGCTAAAGTAACCCCAGTCATCGTATAAAGAAACGTAGTATAAAAAACGTCATATAACAAAAACACCTGTTTGACATCGTTTTGAACAAAAACTTTATCTAGTCTGAATGTTGTATCATTAAAAAAAAATTGTATAACTGGCAGAGCTTAACATCAGTGTGCACTAATGATCGGCCACCTGTCACATCAATTGACCTCTTTGAAAATGATTTATTTTTAGTTTTTTATACTATGCTTTTAATTAGTCTGAACGCTCCTTTTGCTATACAACGTTTCCTTGTACAAATTTTGTATAAAGTCTGAACAGTCTGATCAGTTTGGTTATTGCATCGCTGTAAAGTAAGGTCATGCACGTGGCATACACATCAATATAATATCACAGACTAGTGCTGACTTGTAGTGCATCTGACGAGAGCTAAAAGGGCGTTTACTCATATCATTTTGCAACGAGTCAAAACCCTTCTGCCTCTCAACAGAATAACAGGTATCGTCTCTGCCTCTGCGCACACATTAACTTCACAAAAGATTATATCAATCATTGAATATTTGTCAAAATGTATCGATTGAACAATATTCAAAATGATATAGATTGAATACTCAGTAAAACAATCGTTTGATGTTGTATTAAAGTTCACAGTATAATTTCAGTGGGAACAGAGTGCGAAATTCCACATACATACACGTACTGTGCAATCAAATATGCTTTGATTTCAGGTTTATATATATCTCTTTAATCCTTTGCACTTCATTCTGTGGCAGTCTTCAGAAATACAAAAACAGACTTTCCAGCTTTAATTGTTATCTTTAAAAGTATGCTTTTCTAATCATTATGCATCTGACATAATTTGTTGTCATGGTTTACCATGTAAATCAAAGGAATGCTGGGAATTTTAGATTTTTAAAACATTGGCTGAGTTTCCCTTTAAGCGAAGTACAAATGTACGCTGAGGTACTTAAAGCTATAGATTTGTTGATTCAATTGTTGATTACTTGTTGACATAATGATTTATGACTAATGAATTTCCTTGCTTAGTTGAGAGAGAGCAAAGTGCAGTATCTATTCAAATTTATATCTTAGTGGGAGCACCATGAAGGTTCTGGCAACCCGTACGATAGATCCGGAGTTCAATCCTTGTGGCAATCAAGGGTTTGATCTGGACTTCCACAATAAAGAGCTCACAACTGTATGTTAGTAGTCCCATGTGGTAGTACTCTATTTAAAATATGAGCTTCAGATTCACTTCTAAAAAGATAACTTGGAAGTTTAAATACACTCTAAGATATGGTCTGCACAGAACCCAAGTCTGACTCGGGGTCTGTGTGCGCCATTTTATGTTATGAGTCATTTTTCTTCATACTCCTATGCTAGCCCATAGAATGCAGGGTGCATTTTTTTTTTTTTGGGGGGGGGGGGGGGAGTAGGCTAATATCCAAGCTGCACATAGGCGATACGCTTTAACTCACAACTTTGCAAATGTCAACCTTTACCAAAGAGAAACAAAGTTGATAATTGACTGGACTTCTGGGAGCCAGAGGGATGTTAAGTCCTACACAAACCCAATGCCCTTCTGGGTCTCTACAGTCAAAATGATGCCAGCAATGAGAAAATGCAGAACAGGGACATTCCAATTAACTTTAGTGATACAGTAATGATTAAAGACTGACAGCTTCCCATTTCATGCTGACATATGACAATGAGTGATTGTCGTTTGGTTAATTCATTTACCGCTCTCGTAACATGATCAATGTTTGCTCTCAAACTTTATTAATGATGAAAAACCACTGTTCAAACAATTTACAGATCACATTCAGGTCATGTAATTAAAC